CAGTGGATAAGTTGACTCAGGTTTTGGGGTCAATTTTTAAACTAAAATTTCTGGATTTATACATGAGTATATACAGTATATGAATATTCTTAATCCAGATTAGCAGCACCCATACTTCCTAGGAGCAAAGATAGCTGTGATGCATCCATGCATCCAAAAAGACACTGATTACCAGAATCATGTCTGCTTCCCTCAAAACTATACAATTTGGATTAGAAAAGCTAGATGTGGGACATTGTATCATTCTCTAGCAAGCAGGAGAATCTTGAATTTTAGTTGGCATCTCACCATCTTGCACATGTTGGCCACCCAAAATTGCTGGCTTTTAAAAAATGTTTACTTCCCCCCTAAACCCAACCAATAACACCCCAAACCTCTGGTTGACACTACTGGTCATCCAGACACATTCTGGGGGTTTAGATGGCCTCTAGCGGTTTTGCATTGACAGATGCAAGCATTTGTTCAAACCAGGATGTGATCAAAGCAGGAACTCTGTTTTTTTCTTAGTTTGAATAAGTGTTGAAGGGTTGCTTGTTTTGGGTATTGATGAGACTGCTACTAAATAGAAGCCATTTGGTGCAGTACTAGTGGCCAGAATCCAATTATAAGCAGGGAGACTGTGATTCAAACCTCCTACTTGGGAATGTGAAGAACAAATTAGGCTCGCCCCACATATCTTACTCTGGTCTTTATGCAGAAACAATCATTCATCATGCGGGAAATAGCCCTGTACTAAGAGGATCAATTGGTAACAAGCATATCTTTCACTAGGTCAGAACAATTGCTGCAAGATACACCTTCCAGATGGACCTTGCATAGAATATCTGAATCTTCTCTTACGCTACTGGCACTAAGCTATTTGATTAAAAGTGTCCTTGTGGGAATTGTTAGCCAAATAAGAATAAGTTATAACAACTGTTGCTTAATGAGCAAACTGCTGCCAACAGTCTTGATGGTGTCAAGAAGTTAAGTGGCACTTAAACATGAGTTTACAAAGGTATAATGCTCTGAACTCTACATCTTTTAAAGCAAGTTTAGGGATGGTGGATTTTAGTGAATGCCACTTTTTTTGCTCTTGAGTCTTTAGTACAATTTATTTTAATCCAAGTCTTCTCAGACTTTATTAAGTATTCTATTCTTTCCAAGAGGACAATAAGCAGCTTAGTAGTGGGTCTAAATTAAAAGACACCCATTGTATGGCAAACAGAAAGATGTATAATAGCCACATCATTACAAGGACAGAAAAGTGCTTTATTGATAATAGGCCAAGTGCTATTCTGGTGCACATCAGCCTTTATATGGCTGAATTGGGCTTGAGTCCTGTCCAATTATATTGATTGCTAATGATGTAAAGTCAAGTTCAGCACACATTGTGTGCTTCATCCTTTGGAGGAGATTGCAGACGGCTGAGTGAGATATGGAACAGTCTGCATTATAAAAGTTGAAAGATGGAAATATTTAGAGCCTGTGAAGTTAATAAAGGCAATATAAAAAGTATAGTATTAACCTGATTAGTCACAGCCCAAGTGTTGAATGAAAATATCACTGCTTTTTAATATATGTCTCTTTTCTCATACTCCATATTTATACAAACTGCATATTATACAAGTGTTTTAAAAGCTGCTTTCCTTTTAGGTTAAATGTCTGCATATTAATATATTATGGAGCATCAAATTGTGGTTATAATAATACTAGTACTATTACAGAGAAAATACAGATTCCTAATACCACTGAAATTATTCCTGCTCTCAGATTCCTAAATAAGGTATTGATGAAAATTATGGAATGGCCTGCTGGATGAGATCCATCAGCTGACAACCTTAAGCATCTTTAAAAAGGCTGTTAAGACGGATCTGTTCCGGCAGGTCTTCCCCGATTAGATTTCCCGGCCTCAGGAGTCCCCTTTTCTATCTTGGCTGCAATCGCTACCCTGCCTATTATTCATTTTTTTGTCCCAGGACTGTTTATTTTAATTTAATGTTTTAATCATCATGTTTTAATGTTATTATTAGTTTAATTTTTTTTAAAGGGTGGGAGGGTTGTGGGATTTTGGATGGTATTTTAATATTGTATGAGTTTTAACTGCTGTGAGCCACCCTGATTGTCTGACAGAGGGGCGGAGTATAAATAAAATTTATTATTATTATCATTATCATTATCATTATTATGTTTCAGCATAACACACAAAAGTAAAGGTAAAGGTTTTCCTTTGACAAGATTGTCTAGTTGTGTCATCTGTGCCCATCTCTGTTATTAAGCCAAGGGAGCCAGTGTTTTCAAAGACAATCCTATGGTCCTGTGGCCAGCATGACTGCATGGAACAGCTACCTTCCCATCAAAATGGAACCTATTTATCTACTTGCACCTTTTCATGCTTTTAAACTGTTAGGTTGTCAGTAGCTGAGACTAGTTATGAGAGCTCACCCCATCATCCATATCACACAAAAATCAACCTTTATTTCCTTCATGTTCCTACGAGTAGAGTCAGCCCTCCATATCCATGTCAACCCTCCATGTTCTGAAAAAAAAAATCCCAAAAGCAAACCTTGATTTTACCATTTTATGTAAGGGACACCATTTTACTACCACATTGTATATAACGGGACTTGAGCATCCAAAGATTTTGGTTTGCACAGTGGGTCCTGGAACCAAATCCCAACAGATAACAAGGGCCCAATATACCATCTCAAGTCACAGCACTACAAAACATAAAAGAATTAGGAAAATGGCACAACATAAAAGTGCCTTATCAAGGTAAAAAGAACACAAAATTCTGCCCAATCATCTTCCATTACTACCAGTTCTGGCACAATGTTGACTTAATTTTTCAAATCAAATCCTCTAAAAAATATGAGCAACTAATTATATAAATATATGTAACCACCTAAGGATAAGAAGATCAGATTCAATATCTGTTGTTTTCACTTCTCCACTGCTGCGGCCCCAGACTGTCAACCTGTTTCTTTGGACTACAGCAAAGACCAAATTGTCTACTAAATCATCTGCCGCTGTATTCATCAGAAAGCTAGGAAAGCAGGCCCAGCAGCACTTCATCATGATACTCCCATCTTCATTTTACTCAAGATACAATTAAAAACTAATAAAGTTCTTCCAGATCATCCTTGAGTTGATTGGAAGCAAGTCACCGCAGCCTGTACACTAATAATTTCTTGATTATTTTGATATACTGTCTGACAAGGCTGTCAATTGTTCAGATGAAGCAGGATTAATTTTCCAGGGCCTCCCTTGTCAGTTGCATTTTGGTATTTAATAGAGGGAGAGAAAAATGATTAAACAAGATCAGATGTGGTGTGCTGAATGAACACAAACAAGTGGAAACTCTTCAGAAAGCTAACATGTTCTAAAGCCAAAGAGTTATATATTTTGTACTGTTTGTGGGCCTGAGGGCATGGGATATTAGAATAAATAAAAATTCTGTGCCAAGGAAAGCCAAATTCTGTGCTTATACAGTGGGCCCTTGTTATCCACTGGGGTTTGATTCCAGGACCCCCCGTGGATACCAAAATCCGTGGATACTCCACACAATGGCATAGTAAAACAGCATCCCTTGTATAAAATGGCAAAATCAAGGTTTGCTTTTTGGGATGTGTGAGTGTGTGTATATTCTCAAGCCTAAACATTAGACGGAACATCCTGACAGTAAGAGTTGGTTGACAGTGGAGTGTGGTCCACTGCTGAACAACTCTTACTGTCAGGAAGTTCCTTCTAATGTTTATGCTTGAATATATATTTAGTCTTGAATATATATATATATCCAGTTTATAGAAAGCTGGAAGTCTCCTTTTTGGGAGGTCTTTAAACAGAGGCTGGATGGTCATTTGTTGCGGGTGCTTTGATTGTGAATTCCTGCATGGCAGAATGGGGTTGGACTGGATGGCCCTTGTGGCCTTTTCCAACTCCATTATTCTATCATTCTGTGATTCTATGATTCTATTTTTTTGGGGGGGGGTATAAAATTCTTTATTAGTATTCCAACCTACATACAATATTATTTTTAAAAAACTTTTACATAATCTTCCACATATATATGATAAATCGCATTAATTATTCATTCTTTACTTACTGCCTTATCTAAATCTAATTCATATCAAACTATTTAATATTGATTAAACCAGTAAATTAAAAAAAAACCAAACCAAAGCACATAAAATTGTTGTTATTATCTTCATTCTTCTCATTGTCTTCTTTTCACCACATACTTTTCACAATGCCACAAAGTTATAATACTGTTAATTTATCACTAATTCATTTTTTTCTTTCTTCTCCACCTTTTTCTTTTCTCTCTCTCTCTTTTTCTTTTCTTTATTTTTCCTCTTCCCCAAGTGCTCCCCATCACCATAGCCTAGTATCTTCATATTACTCTCCTCTCCAAAATTGTAACTATTCCTGTGGAGGTAACCTCCCTCCTTTACTAAAGCCTTTTGGACAAATATTTTCCATATTGCTTCAAAATCACTTCTCTTCATTATTCCATTTTTTAC